GGATTGGTTTCGAACAGCTGTTGGTTACGCTAGGTGTGAAATTCCACGTCCCTTGCCCGCCTCCACCAGTTGCACCCGGGAGTGAGGCAATCGCAGCCAGTGGTCTGCAGAGACCTCGCCCTGCCAGGTCACCAGCACCATCGGCCACTTCTGCCTCAGGCGCCACAAGAAAAGGATAGCTAGAAAGAGAAACAGAAACCAAACAGGATGCCCAAAAAGGATGCCCGCCCTGGGGGGGGCAAGTGGAACAAACCGAAATCAATCCAATCACCTGGCCAAGCCGCAGCCAGCTCAGCTGTGCGGCCAACACCGTGGCCGCGCCCACCTTGCCCGTGAGCAAAACCACCATTGCGGCCCAGGAGCCAGAGCCCGCTGCTGGCCGCACGGCCTCCGCCAAGCAGCTGCGGTTTTGGGGTGCAAGCCACCGAGCTTCAAGGCAACCGCTCGGCCCAGGGGGGGCCGGAACCCCGCCTTCCAAAAGTTCCGCTGCGTCCTGCGAAGGCGACACTGGCAGGTCAGGATCGTTCCGTTGGGAAAACCACCTAACGAAACAGAAATTGTTGGGCTTGGTACAGAACGACCGCCATCTGGCCAAAAAATGCTTTGCACAACCCAGCATTCTGTTAAAGAATTGAGTCCTCATGTCGCACAGCGGCGGACCACACCTGCACCAATTCAGTCCGGGACAGCTGCGCCAGCTCCGGATCTCGCTCGCAGTGTGCGGCACAAAGATCACGCGCAGCATCGAGCGTCAAAATCACAAGCAGCCAGCCGTGCAGCCATTGGCGAGGAGTCTGCCATGGGCAAACAACGCTCATCCATAGAGCAGGAAACTTGCTTACCAGAACTTCCTAGCCAACGGCTGCAGCCGTTGCAAGATGCTAACATGATATGGGCGCATCCGGCTGCGCAACATCTTGCACATGCAACCGTCGGCTATCGAATCTTTCGATTGGGGTTGCATTCTAGCGTCTCGATTGCTTCCAGCGTTGTTTGCTTCCATTGGCCCGTTTGCGCTGGGACGACCCCCTCTCGAGTTTGACAACGGGACCCAACGCAGTTAAAAAAGCGCTGCGTGTTTGAACACAGCGAAGGCCCCAATGGCACCCTTTCCCGGCCCCTTTGAGAAACGCCCCGCCCCTCAACGCGCATTGGGCCTCCGGCGGGCGTGCCTCTGCCCAGCGCAAAAGAGGTTCTTTGAGGCGGCGGGCCACCTGCGCCAACAACAACCTAGCAAAAATGCAACTCTTCCTCCTGCTCAACTCTGCCTGATGCAACGTGGGAGCCGCGGATTGGCTACATAGCGCTAGCAGCAGCGACGTTGAGGTGCGCGAGCGTCAACGCAGTCAAGTTTCTTTCAGTTGCCCAAACGACCAAAAACACAAGGCTAACTTGCTAACCCTCAAGTTACTGCGTCGCCGTCTAAAGATCCGGACAGTTTATAGGCCAAACAAGAGTTTTTTGTGCTACCTCTGCAAGGGTTAACACTAACTTCCGCATTCTTTCTTGAAAGGCTACCTTTGACCCAGCTCGCCTAAACATCCGGAAATGCAGGAAGACTGAAGGCCTCGGGCTAGGGGGGCAGCTAGCAGGTTTGTTCTTAAACATCACGGGCCCCTCTGCCTGAGTAAGCAATAGGCTCAGAAGAGCAGCAGGTCTGTCAGAAATCAGAAACAACATGGAGGCATTAAGGGCAGCCTGCCCGCCAAAAGAAGGACACGACACACCGCATTTACCAGACATCGGGCGGCCTCGCTCTGTTGCTAAATGCCGTTAGTTCACTTGGACGGTTGCTCAGTTTGTGCCGTGTTAGGAAGGAACCCCTCGCGATGGCTGAGGTAGAACAGCGCGCAGCGTGCGTCTAGAACAAGCTGGCCCGCAGGAACGCTAACCCGACGTGATCCCACCGCAGCTTCCCACGGGCAGCTTTCCGCGGCGTCTCAGACAAGCGATGCTACAGACTCGCTTGCGCGAAGCCAGCCTTTCGACCCTTCGGTTTCCCTGATTTGGCCCATACCCAGCAAGGTCCAACAAGTTACGGCGACGACATCTGAAAAAAGCGGCTGGCCGGGCCGCCCTCACGGGTTATGTGAACGTTGCCTAGAGCGCTAAGCCAACCACGAGCAAATAAATCATTGAAACTCCTGGGGCGCCAGCCTGACTCTTCAAGCCCCGAGCCTTTGTGTGGTTGTTTTTGGACGTACTTACCTATAGGTCTGCAAACGCCGTTGTGCGCCCACGCTGCAACTTCAAACAAGCCCTTTTGCGGCAATTTCTGGACATACTTACTAACAGTTTCAGAGTGGCTTTTGGACGGGTGACCCGTGCCATGCCCAGAAGCCAATTGGTGGTTGAGAAAACGGTCGTCAGCCAGCCCTGAACTTACAAAATGGCGGGGGGCGACATGCCTTCAACAAAGACGCAAAGGGCCAATCCAGGTACGAGAGGCATCCGTACATACATGGTCGGGAGCAACCCCCATCGTTTTGTGAGCGGCGTGGAGACAATGGTAATTGCTCCTGTTTGACGGACCAACCCCTGCATTTTCTAGAGGCTGTACGAAGGGGGGATATGTCGGCTCCTTGCCTCCCTTCACGCGCACAATTCTTCTAGCCTCGCTTTTAGCGCCCGACATGCGCTTTCCGTCATTGCAGCTTGTGACGTTTAGTCCTGGCCTGGCATCCCTTGCTTTGAGCTTTGGAAAACGGAAGAGCCACTCAGAACTAGGCGAGCAACTTGCCGCCCAGCTGAAAAAACAAAAAACAAAACACAATGTGTCCACACAAGGAATCGACCCCTTCCAAAAGCGTGTGTTCCTGTTACTGTTGGTGTCCTGAAGCCGTCCCCAAGTAGCTCTGACGCCCCCCAACAGCTCGAAAGTTCAAGGTCTTTGACCTGCAGCCCTAGTTGTTCCTTGCGCCCGTGTAGGGCAGATTTCACCATATCAATTGCACGAAATGGGAACATGGGATTCCGCGGATTCCCAACTTGGATTCCCATGGCTTCGCTTTAGTGGGTCCATACAAGGCATTGACCAAAAGAGCCGTTTGGCGCATCTAAGTACAATCTACCGAGCTAAACGAAGGCGTTTCGTAAGGAAGGCATCTGAGCGCTTGTTTGCAAGGTCAGCCGGTATAATTGGTGTAGCACTCAGATTTCCCTTACTTGCTCGCATGAGATGAAGAAAGCCAAGAACAAACGTTGCAAATCGCTCACAAAACGACTGGGCCGAGATCCTTGATCCTTGCATGCCGTGAGAACCTAATAGGCACGCGCGCGCAGAGGCACGCGCGCAGCTCCTCCAGGCGAGGTACATAAAAAAAAAAAGAGACTCAGAGAATTCGCGTTCCCAGGTGCCGAAATCGCCCGGAAAAAAAAAGAAAAAAAAGCGTCGGTTCATTTTGGTGAGTAAGCCTTGCCCTCAAGGCCTCTCCAGACAGGCAAATGAGGTCCAACTGAAGGAACCCCCCAACATCGGCCTTCGGTTTTGCATTTAATCAAAAACAACAAGCGCAAGGGTGCCAAAATTGGCAGCCCCAAATCTGAGATTGACCTTGGGGCTTGGCAACGCTAGACTCACCCCCATGATTTGATTCTTTTTGGTTTCCTTGAACCAGCCCCCCCACCCCCACCCCCCAAAAAAAATGGCAAGCCCTGCCAAAACTGACAATTTGCGTTTGGTCTCCATTTTAGACAACCCCCCCAAGCACGGTTACCAACTCTACACGAAAAGGTGCATATCTCCAACAACGACTCGACAAACACCAACTCTGCTGGTTTGTGCACAATCGGTGGATCCCTACAATATAATCTTAATCCACCACTGCAAAAGAAAAACTGGTGTGAGGATCTTGGGGATGGATCTTGAAATGGCATGGGGGACACCTTGGGGCGAGACCCAACAAAATCAGCCCTTGCCTTTTGATTTCCCTCAAACATAGGGGAAACCCACCTGCATGCACCCCCCCCCAGTCAAACTCTCACACAACATTTTGACAAGGCGGCACCAAACCAATCCTAATTCTGGGGTACCCTGAAACGCACATGGCTGTTTGTCAAAATGCTGTTTCCCAAGTTGTTTGGAAATGATCGTTTCCGTGCGGCCCGTCTCATTGCACGGTGTTATGTTTCAATCTCATTGCACTACATCTTGGTACCCTGCCAAATCTGCACCACTTGAGGGGCTTTTGTGAAACCCTCGTATAACCCTGTTGTAACCCTTATATAACCTTTATATATATATATCCTTTGGCTTCTGGGGGTCGTGGCTTGGGGGTAGTCCTGAAAAGCACACATGACGACGACGGCCATGTCTCCCGTCGCAAACTCCGCCTCCCGAAAGACCTCCGGCTGCGCTGCCGGGCGGTGGCGCGCGAGGCGCTGCGTCAAAGCGCAGACGTCGCAGAAGCGGAAGGCGCCCACCCAAAGGCCTCGGATACAGTTCCCACCAAGCAAAAGAAACAAACAGGCAGGCAGGCAGCAGGCAGGCAGGCAGGCAGGCAGGCAGGCAGGCAGGCAGGCAGGCAGGCAGATAGAAAGACCAACAAACAAGCAACCAAACCAACCAACAAACAAACGAACTAGCTAACTGATTAATTAGCTAGCTAGCTAACATACTAACAAGTTGGCCTCAGCTTGGCGCTTTAATAGACATCATTTGGGAGAAACTTCTTGTCCTCTCCACCAACCTCACTGCACACTTGCTCGCTGTCGGGAGCATCATTGGCATCCTCATCTGCCCTTTGGATAATTTGGGCACGCAGTCTGCATTTCGCTGCATCCCTGTTTGACAAGCTCTGAAAGTCAAAGACTCATCTTGCATGAAGGCAGTCCCTTATTGCGGATGACTCATGAAGGTTCTAGGAGCTTGATATTTCTTTGGCTAGGAGCCCTTTTTGCAAGTTTGCTCAAGTCCATAGGGTTTAGCCCGGCGCTCAAGCTGGTGCACACATCATGATGCTCAGGACTCTATACAATTGAACCCGGGAGAAGGGAAGACAGGAGAAGGCTGACCAATCTTCAACCCCTGTGGTTTGCTTATCCTGCAGAAGCTCGGGAACCCGTCCCCAACAATGAGCTTGTGCAATGGCAGTTGTTTCCCAGTAAGGTAATAAGCGGGCCTTAAGACCGGCTGTCGTCTTCCTCCTTTCCCTTCAATAAACCTCAACTGGAGTACATCAAAACATACACACGCAAATGTGGTGGACAGATTAGTTGTGAGCAGGATATTTATATTGTCGCGAATAGGTGTAAACGTATGTTGTTTGAAAGCCCAGGTTTCCAAAGAACACACTTTTGGGAATATGGTTTTGTGGACAACCTCTGGTGGAGTACTTTTGTATGAACCTCTGTATTGAAAATTATCTTGGCTAAGTCCCTAACGGAATGACGGAATGTTGCGAAAGCCTACCGACGACCTTCTGGCGATGTATTAGCCACGGACAATCCATGCTTGTCGGTTCGTCGCCAAAAAGAGGTTCATTATTGGTCCCCACCAACATGCTCGCCGACAAAAGCAACAATCAATTCCAGAAACGAATTGAAGGAAAAGCTCAAATTGAAAACCTCAAATTAGGAAACACCACTTTTAGGGATCCTCTACTTTCGGACACACTCACTCATGATGCAAACATGTATGTGTGTATGATGCATGCATGTGCCTGCAGGTGTGTATGTGTGTGTGTAGGTCGGAGGAGTTCACGGACGTGTAAGTCAAAACCCTGCAGGCTCACCTTAGGCTATCCGCTCTTCTAGACGTCCAGCGTTTACTGGGTGTGTAGTGGGTTGGAGAAAACAAGCCTATCCAACCCAACTTGTGGTTTCCTTGGAAAACATCCATTGCGCTACATCTCTTTACGCAAAGGGTCCACAGAATCACGACCCAAAAATGGGGCGACTCCCTTGAATGGCAGCACGTGCCCCAAATCAGGCGTCAACGGAAAAAAAACACAACCCAATGGGCTTGTCTTCAAATGGAAGAACGGCTTAGGATCAAAATCGCCCCCCCCCCCCCAAACAAAAGCAACGAAAAGAAGAACAAACTTAAATGGGGAAGACCCTCCATGTATTGATGGACAATGTCCGTGTATCATGGACACCTTCCAAAGGGTGGCACTTAAACGACATATGGATCGAACACCTCGCCCACGCCGCGGCGCTAGTCTCAGTTGACTTTGCCTGGCCGGGGGCAAGTGACGAGCCCAATTGGCTAAAGAGGTTGGCTGAGGGCTGCGAAAATCGAACCATTTTATGACACCCCTCCCGCAACAAAGGGATCTCTTCTCCACGAAAGGCGCACAAACACGTTGTTTGACCGGGTAGAACGAACCACCCCAGGTTGCATATAGTTGATGCAACATGATCTACGTTCAAGATATTGAGAACGTTGTAGCACGAGATGAAATATGGACCATTTTCACATTGCCTGGATTTGCGCCAGTCTTGTCATATGCTGGTCAGTAGGCTCTCCAGCACGCGCCTCCCACAAGAGCAATTAGGCAAATGCTGCAAAATCAAACCCAAATAGTCCAACATGCACTTCTGGGACCAAACTTGGAAGTCCAACAACAACTTGCTAAGCCAAACTTGGAATGCTCCGATTGGACTATATATTGCAAGTGTATCCCGCGTGAACACTAGTTCCTTCCTGCTTTTGCTGCTTTTGGGATGCGCTTTCAGGAACCATCACGTGTTTAACCACTGGGTGGCCCAATTTGGTGCAATTGTGATGGCCATGATAACCGGTGGGGAGGAGCTTTGATGCGAGCGGGTTGGGCAAGTTCTGTTGGTCGCAGGTGTTCTGTCCTGGGCACGAGCAAAGAAACCACAACTTGAGGCAAGCCTTCGATCGTGAAGTTCGAGCTTGAAACGCGAACTGAACTTTGATGTTTGAACTTGACACGCAAGTTCCAATTTCACAATTTCGTGCTTGAAACTCAGGTTGACTTGCAACCGACTTTGCGAGGTTCTGGTCCTAAGATGGAGGGCTCGAGGCTCCCTACCAACCGCAAGGAAAGGACGCAGGCCGTTTCCCCCGCCACGGAAGGAAGGGCAGCAATTGCAGATGTTTGGAGGGGGGCATGTTCAAAAAACGTGAAACTGGGTGTTCTATGGTTTAACAACCAAGGGTTCCAGAGGAACTCCCTGTGCATGAATTACGTAGTGAGGATGAGACATGGCCCTCGTTTCCTGGAGCCCACTGGCCTGCATCGCATCCAGGCCCTGGAGGAAGCGGCTGGCGGCCTTGGATTCACACGGGCTGACCTCGCCCAAACGGCTCCGAAGTCTTTTTTGGAGGTACTTGAAAGTTGAACTAAGCAAACTGGTAATTCAGGCCAAACAAACTTGCAGAAGTCTAGGAACCCTCATACAGCTTGAACGGGGGTGGTCTCTAGCCTGATTCCTGCCAGCCTTCTCATGCCTCTTGGTCACCTTCTGTAGGTTCCAACAAATCTCAGTGAGTTGTCTTGGAAAGCTCAAATTCTGCCTTGCACGGCACTGGAAGACCACCAAAGGGACCTTTGCCGAAGGGACAAGTATGCTGCAAAAGGGGCCAATGTGAGTTCCTCTGTTTAGCCCATCAGATTTCTGGTTCTACAAAGATGGTCATAACTTGATATTACAGGCCTAAATTACCAGAATATCCATTAAGCCCAAATCAAATGGCCAAGACGGATTTTCGGCGTTGCGCACTTGGTAAGGTCATAAGCAGAACTGGACGCGGGAAAATGACGAGTCATGGCGGCTCTTGATGGGGCATCGCGCAAACGGCTTTTTGCAGGGCAAAGTCGGGTGGTGGTGACAGCCGGTTAATCAGGCTGTTCTGTTTCTATCTGAAATTTCCTGACTTCCAAACGTGTTTTGGTGCCACCCGATAAGGGCGCTATAAGACGTTGTTGCCTTGCAAACAGGCTTGTGACCTACTTGCCAAGCAGGTAAGCACCCCATTAGAGGAACCGCCGTCAAGAGACAAACCACTGTGCTTGTGCAAAATGCACGTGCCTTACATGTACGTTTTTTGAACCGATTGTGCACGTGCTTCGTTCACTGTGTTTACTCGGTGATTTCTCCTCATGAACCCGACATGTGCCAAACATCGGCAAACATACGCTTCTGGGGCAGCTCTCAAAACAACGCGTCACACACCATTGGTGAGGTCCTACTACACCCAGTTAATTCTCCATCGATGGCAAGTATAAAGTCTCACTTTGGTTTCAAAATAGAATAGCGTGTGGTTGATGTACTTGTAATATTTGCCCAACCACAGATGTATAGCTACTGGTAAGTTAGCATACATAAACTATTCGTAAATAAGTACATCTTCAATTGCTATGTATAATGCCAAGCAGCCAGGGGCCCAGACTGGGGCCCACGCAGACTGATGCACAACTGTTGCTTGAAAATTTGGGTATCGCCTGCAAACGTCTTGCGTGTTGCGCAGATTTAAATGAATGCAGACATGTCTGCTTTACGGGCGGGAACTCTCTCTCTCTCTCTCTCTCTGTGTCACTTCAACCCAGTTCACTGGGAACCTCAGGCACGGCATGCAATTCTCACTCAATAGCGAGGCCCCGCCAAGCCGGGGATCCGCTTGAAGCGACTCTTGGAGAATTCCCGCATGGAAACCCGAGATGCTTCTTCGAACCACGCTTCGAACCTCCGACCCTTCGCCACCCCAAGCCCTCCACCCCCCGACGGCTCGACCAGAGTTCCCCGAAACTACACATTGAACAGTCGTCGCTCTCGAAGGGAACTCAGGAGCAATGGGCAACCAACAAGAAACAAGGGAACCAGTTGGCATTCAACATGCTTAAGCCCGGTACACAGGGCAACATGGCTGTGCTGTTTGAGTATTCGTTTGAGTATTCCACACTCCAAATATGCGGTTCCTTCCGGGCATTGTTAGCTTTTGAAAGAAATTTAGAGCTCGTCTCCTCATGTCCTTGCCCAGTCGACCGAAGTGGGGCTCAAGAAATTTATCTCTACATCCGTGCACGTTCAACTGACTCACCGACCAAGAATGCGTTTTGCCCTTGTCCTTGGATCGCACCTGGGGCCCCGACATGGCTCGGGTCGCTGCCAGGCCGCAGGGAGCGCAACACCTGACAGCTGGCCCAGCGATGCGAAATTCCCTGGAGCCAAGGGGGGGGGGTCTGGGAAACACAGCTATGGGCGCGTGCGTTTCAAAAAACATATGGCTTTTTAGCACTCCAAGGGTATGAGTTTTCTACCTTTAGAAAATATAAGCAGCCGGCTGCCGGCTGCGTCCAGGTTTCGCCGAGCAACCGATGTTCCGATACTTGTTTACGCTTCATTTCGGGAGGCTCTCTTCCTGAGCAAACTAGCCCAAAAAGGCTGAACTTCGTTGTTGCTCACCCTCCCTAAAGTATCACGTCCAGGAACTGGGGAACTGAGGAAGAGGTCAGGGGGAAAAAACAGTTTTCTTGATCTCTGCAGAAACAAACAGGCGACCGCCCAGTTGAACCAGCGGCTCGCTGATTGCCACACACATGAGCGGTGACCAAAATTAAAAAGAGAATTTGTCATAATATGGGGACCTTCCGCGGACACGGGGTTTTGCTTCAGCGGCAACAAAACTTGCGATATGCTCGGCGGATCCCCCCTGCCTTAGTGCAAGGGACGTAGGGGGGGGGGGGGGGGCATTTTATTTTTCAATCGACGTAGGGGGTTTCATTTTACTTTTTCAAGGCCCTGTGACCTGCAACGCAGATTCGGGGCACACTGCCTCCTTCGCCTGGCATTGTGACCCGGCACGCTCAATTGCGGGACCGGACGTGCCGCAACCGTGACCCGGGTCCTTCGCTGGACCTTGTCACCCAGCACACACACAACTGCGTGATCCGGCGTGCCGGGTACGCCGGGCCTTGTGAAATGGCGCGCCGGGCCTTGTGAACCGGCGCGCCGGGCCCTATGCCGGGGCCTTGTGAAATGGCGCGCTGGGCCTTGTGAACCGGCGCGCCGGGCCCTATGCCGGGGCCTTGTGAAATGGCGCGCTGGGCCTTGTGAACCGGCGCGCCGGGCCCTATGCCGGGGCCTTGTGAAATGGCGCGCTGGGCCTTGTGAACCGGCGCGCCCCTATGGGGGCCCTGGGCCTTGTGATGCCTGGGGCCTTGTGAAATGGCGCGCTGGGAATTGTGAACCGGCGCGCCGGGGGGGCCCTATTGCCGGGGCCTTGTGAAATGGCGCGGCTGGGCCTTGTTGGAACTCACCGGCGGCCGGGCCCTATGCCGGGGCCTTGTGAAATGGCGGCTGGGCCTTGTGAACGGCGCGCGGGCCTATGCCGGGGCCTTGTGAAATGGCGCGTCGGGGGGGCCTTGTGAACCGGCGCGCCGGGCCCTATGCCGGGGCCTTGTGAACTGGCGCGCTGGGCCTTGTGACCCGGCGCGCCGGGCCCTATGCCGGGGCCTTGTGAAATGGCGCGCTGGGCCTTGTGAACCGGCGCGCCGGGCCCTATGCCGGGGCCTTGTGAAATGGCGCGCTGGGCCTTGTGAACCGGCGCGCCGGGCCCTATGACGGGGCCTTGTGAAATGGCGCGCTGGGCCTTGTGAACCGGCGCGCCGGGCCCCTAGGCCGGGGCCTTGTGAAATGGCGCGCTGGGCCTTGTGAACCGGCGCGCCGGGCCCTATGCCGGGGCCTTGTGAAATGGCGCGCTGGGCCTTGTGAACCGGCGCGCCGGGCCCTATGCCGGGGCCTTGTGAAATGGCGCGCTGGGCCTTGTGAACCGGCGCGCCGGGCCCTATGCCGGGGCCTTGTGAAATGGCGCGCTGGGCCTTGTGAACCGGCGCGCCGGGCCCTATGCCGGGGCCTTGTGAAATGGCGCGCTGGGCCTTGTGAACCGGCGCGCCGGGCCCTAATGCCGGGGCCTTGTGAAATGGCGGCGCTGGGCCTTGTGAACCGGCGCGCCGGGCCCTATGCCTGGGCCTTGTGAAATGGGCGCCTGGGCCTTGTGAACCGGCGCCGGGCCGCCGGGGCCCGCGCTGGGCCTCGTGAACCGGGCGCCGGGCCCTATGCCGGGCCTTGTGAAATGGCGCGCTGGGCCTTGTGAACCGGCGCGCCGGGCCCTATGCCGGGGCCTTGTGAAATGGCGCGCTGGGCCTTGTGAACCGGCGCGCCGGGCCCTATGCCGGGGCCTTGTGAAATGGCGCGCTGGGCCTTGTGAACCGGCGCGCCGGGCCTTGTGAGTAGCTGTGTGTAGACATGTGAGCATGTGTTTCTCCACCACGCCTAAGAGAGTAGGTCTTTTCCATTTGCTTTCTACGGCTAAGTCTTTGAGACAGCCAGGTTAGGTCTTCCCAGGCGTGTTGTCCGGAATGTTGGGACCTATGTTTTCCTATGTTTGTATTGTTTCTAGTTTATTAGGAAAGCTAGAAACATTGACTAGAAACATTGCAAAAGCTAGTTTTTCTAATTTACATAGAAACACTAGCTGAAATGAAAGGACTACGGAAAGCTTCCAGGAGTTTGTCCAGGCTGGCCTTTCTTAGCATCCTCGTCATCATCATCATCATCATCATCATCATCATCATCATCATCATCACCGTCATCATCATCATCATCCTCATCATCATCATCATGATCATCATCATCATCATCATCATCATCATCATCATCATCATCATCATCATCATTTCATCATCATCCTGTCATCATCATGTTCATGTTCATCACCGCCATCATCATTTTCATCATCATGTGCAGCAGCATCATCATCATCATCTGCATCATGTTCATGATGTTCTTTTCTTTTTGCTATTCGAAAAGAAAAATAGCTGAAGAATTAATCATGTTGTTCTATCTTTCCTAAATTGTCTAGTTAAATAGAAACAATAGCTGGGAAACCAGCCACTGTTTTCTATTTTTCGAATTTTCTAATTAATTAGAATAGTTCGTGATGAATTGAAAAGTTAGCTGGACAATCACTCACTTTTTCCAAATTTCCTATTTTCTACTTATTTGGAGGCTAGGTTTCCGGAATGTTGGGACCCACATTTTCTAAGTTTTCTAATTTTCCAAACCTTTCTAATTCGCCTCGGCCCCAAAGGGGCCAAGGGCGCTCAGATCTCTTCTCCAAAGAGAATCTTCGCCTTTTCCCCCCTGAAAATTGCTTTTTTGTCCTGAAAAGCATGACCTCCTGCTGGCCAGGCCTGTCTAACGTGTCTGAGACTAGGCTCAGGCCCAGCCCAACCAGCAACCCGCCTGCTGGCCAGACCTGTCAGCCCAGCCCACCCAGCCTCAGGCCCAAACTTATCTGAAACAGGCCTAGCCCAACCAGCAACCCGCCCAAGCACGGCCCCAACTCATCCAGCAAGGTCAGCCCAGCCTGCCCAGCCCAGGCCCCGGCGCATCTCACGGCATGCCAGCCACTAGGCCGGCCCCCAGCTCCCAGCCCCCCAGCAGGCTCAGCCCAGCGTGCCAAGGTCAGGTTTGTCTAACGTGTTTGAGACTGGCCAACGACCAGTCTCACGTGTCTGAGACTGGTCTCAAGGTACGCCAGCTACTAAGCCTGTTCCGGCTGCCCAAGCAGCTCAGCCCAGGCTTGCCAGGCCTTGACCTCCTGCTCACGTCTGGCCCGTCATCCAGCAGGCCAGCCCCTTCGACGCAGTATCAGACTGGTCTCAAAGTATGCCAGCCTGAGACTAGCCTCAGGCCCAGTCCCACGTGTCTGCGACTGGCCTCCAGCCAGCAACCAGCCCAAGTTCCAGGCGCAACCAGCAGCGTAGTCCGGCTGCCAGCAACCCACCCATGGCTTCGCAGCCTTGTGGCTGAGACTAGCTTCAGGCCCAGCCCAACCATCAGCCCAGCCTGCCCAGCCCAGGCCCCGGCTAGGCCGGCCCCAGCTCCCAGCCCACCAGCAGGCTCAGCCCAGCGTGCCAAGGTCAGGTTTGTCTAACGTGTCTGAGACTGGCCAACGACCAGTCTCACGTGTCTGAGACTGGTTTCAAGCTATGCCAGCTACTAAGCCTGTCTGACGTGCCCCAGCCCCTCAGTCCGGCTGCCCAAGCAGCTGACCTCCTGCTCGCGTCTGGCCCCAAGTCATCCAGCAAACCCAGCCCCTTCGACGCAGTATCAGACTGGTCTCAAAGTATGCCAGCCTGAGACTAGCCTCAGGCCCAGTCCCTCAGCCCGCCTGCGTGTCTTACGTGTCTGCGACTGGCCTCAGGCCCAGCCCAGCCAGCAACGCCCAAGCACAGCTCAGCCTAGCCCGCCCAGCCCAAGTTCCAGGCGCAACCAGCAGCGTAGTCCGGCTGCCCAGCAGCCAGCAACCCACCCATGGCTTCGCAGCCTTGTGGCTCAGACTAGCTTCAGGCCCAGCCCAACCAGCAACCCACCCAGCCCAGGCCCCGGCGCATCTCAGGGCATGCCAGCCACTAGGCTCCCAGCCCAGCCAAGGTCAGGTTTGTCTAACGTGTCTGAGACTGCCAGCCCCGCAGTCCGGCGGCCCAAGCAGCTCAGCCCAGGCTGACCAGGCCTTGACCTCCTGCTCGTGTCTGACCCTTCCCTCAAACTAGGCTGGGCCGAGGCGGGCAACGCGAAGCGTTTACAATTCAATAAAAAATAGCTTGAGAACCAGCCAATTTTTCTAATTTTTCGAATTTGCTAATTTGGAGGCTAGGTTTCCGGAATGTTGTTGTAATCTTTCTAATTTTCCTAGTGCTCTTATGCTTCTAATTAATTCATTTAAAAAATAGCTGGAAAAACAATCATTTTTGTAATTTTCACATTTTTCTAATTAATTAGAAAAATACGCTGCAAAAAAGAAAGCGATTCATTTTCAACAATTTTCTCAATAACTAGAAATAAGAAAACATTGACGTCCAATGAAAAACATGACTGCTTTTAAAAAAATTTAATTAATCAGACAATTCTAAAAATTAGAAAATTGTTTGGTGTTCAACCTACTTCTTAAAATACTTAGGCAATAACAAAACATGAAAAATAGAAAACTAGACAAAAATAGGCCCCAACATTCCGGAAACCTGGCCTCCAAATAGTTAGACAAATTAGAAACAGTTTGCAGTTTTCCAGGTTGTTCTATTTAATTAGATTTTTCATCAAAATCGAAAACTGGGGAAAGGACATA